CTGATGCATCGATCCTTTACTGATACATCGATCCTTTACTGATACTTCGATCCTTTACTGATGCTTCGATCCTTTACTGATACTTCGATCCTTTACTGATGCATCGATCCTTTACTGATACTTCGATCCTTTACTGATGCTTCGATCCTTTACTGATGCATCGATCCTTTACTGATACTTCGATCCTTTACTGATGCATCGATCCTTTACTGATACTTCGATCCTTTACTGATACTTCGATCCTTTACTGATACATTGATTCTTGCATCACAGCGAACAAACTAAACTTGTTTTAACCCACACTGTGACTGTGAGCTGGTTTTGTTGTTGGATTCCTGAGTTAAACATAAAAATGGCCTGAACAGGATTTTTAACCATCACTGCTAATAATAATAATCTTATTTCTATTTCTTCTTTCGGTTTTCCCTCTTCAAGTGTCTGCGAGTCCTCCTCCATCTCTGTCCTCACTCTGTCCTCTCTTTGTCCTCTGTCCTCACTCCAACTACCTCCATGTCCTCTCTAACTGCATCCATACGTCTCCTCTTTGTCTTTTTCCTGCAGCTGCATTTCTAACATCCTTCTACCAATATACCCACTGTCCCTCCTCTGTACATGTCCAAACCACTGTCCCTCCTCTGGACATGTTCAAACCACTGTCCCTCCTCTGGACATGTCCAAACCATCTCAGTGTGTCCTCTCTAACTTTATCTCCCAGTTGTTCAACCTGTGCTGTACCTCTGATGATCTCATTCCTGATCTTCTCCATCCTTGTCACTCCTCAGGAGAACCTCAACATCTTCAGCTCTGACACTTCCAGTTCTGTCTCCAGTCTTTTTGTCCATGTCTCTGTCTCCAGTCTTTTTTGTCCATGTCTCTGTCTCCTGTCTTTTTGTCCATGTCTGTGTCTCCAGACCATACAACATAGCTGGTCTCACCACTGTCTTGTAAACTTTTCCTTTGACCTTTGCCCTTTGCTGACACTCTTTTGTCACAAATCACTCCTGAAACTTTTCTCCATCACTCCATCCTGCCTGGACTCTCTTCTTCACCTCTTTACCACACTCCACATGTTCCTGGACAGTGGACCCCAAGTCCTTGAAGTCCTGCACCTTTGTGACCTCTGCTCCTTGTAGCCTCACTGTTCCACCTCCTCCCTCTCACTCACACACATGGACTCTGTCTTACTACGGATGACTTTCATTCCTCTTCTTTCAAGTGCATACCTCCACCTCTCCAAGTTCTCTTCCACCTGTTCCCTGTTCTCACCACAGATCACAATGTCATCTGCAAACATCATAGTCCACAGGGATTCCTGCTTGACCTCGTCTGTTAGTCGGTCCATCTCCTGAACAAACAAGAAGGGGCTCGGAGCTGATCCTTGATGCACTCCCACCTCCACCTTGAAGCTATCTGTCACTCCTAAAGAACATCTTACCATTGTCCTGCTGTCCTCATACATGTCCTGCTGTCCTCATACATGTCCTG